GCTCAGGATAACCTGAGCCACTATAACTAGAAGCTTTATCAAAAAGGAAAGTTTTAAGCCTAGCCTTAAAATGACTAAAACTGGTAGTTGGTTCCACAGGAGAGGAGCCTGATAACTAAAAGATCTGCCTCCCATCTTTAGTATGTTAGGTACGTAAGGAACAATCAGGTCTCTGATATTAGATGGAGCTTGCCCGTTTAAGGCTTTATATGTAGGTTGAAAGTTTAAAATGATTAAAGGCAGGACATAATTCATTCAGCCTTGCCTTGGTTCTCTATAGGTCTGCTGCAGCCTGGAGAAAAGGCCAACATGCCAGAGTGGAAAATAAGCTTCTAGAACATCTCGCCTTCCATTTTCGTTCTTTTTCTGACCTTAGTTCCATTCTGTTCAGTTTATTTATCTGGAGCCAATTCACAGCACGTCATCTCAGTGCTCTTTACAACTGATGGTGAAAATAGATGTCTCTGGTTAAACGTTCCCATCTCTGCTTCAGCTTCCACACCAAAGAGTGTTGTTGGCGGTGCATTCCCTGATGGGAAAATGATTGGGCTTCCCATAATCAGAGGGTAATTTTAGTGGATTTATTGGCAGCTTTTACAACAAATTAAGACGGTCTCCAAACAACAATATTTATTAAGCCACTTAACCTTTATTACCAACCCACACAGCCTCTCCTTCTCCTCCCATCCCAGGCTGTCCTTTGTCTGACACTCCATCCATCAATGTCCTGCTCTCCCCTCCCTCGCTCTCCCTCTGTAATCCTCCTGGGCTTTCAACACATCGTCACCCAATTCATGTGTGTATTCCTGTGTGTTTCAAGTTCAGGTGTAATTTGTGATTTTCCCTCCACCCTCTGTAAGGGTGTGATTTGGTGCCTTGAGGGACGAAAGTGGAGTGCATAATGAGGTTCTGTGTCTCTGAGACTAAAACACATCCTGTGAGCATCGCCGTGATTTAGTTTGAGGTGGAAGCTCTGCATCCATCTTCTCCATCATCTCCATTTTTATTTTGGAAATATTCTCTTCTCATTTCTCCTGAACTGTTTCTTTTTCAAATTTCCTTTATTTGTAAAAATATTCTAAAGCTGAATGATCTTATCTATTAACTAATTATTCATTTATTCTCCTGTGTCAAGATGATTTTTCCAAACCACAAAGGGCTAAATTACTACTACATTACTCCATTTTAACAATTATTTGTGCCAGCTGCATTAAATACTGACTGATTGAACAAAAGAATGCAGTCTGACACATTATGAAAGTCAGACATATAAAGTAAAGAAGTGGAACAAGAACCTGTATGTTTACTGAAATAAAAAAAGTGTTGTAGAATATGTGAAACTCTTCTGATATTCAACATACAAAGATATAAAACTATCATTAAAGACACACCGCAGACTTGGTGACATAAAGAGTTGATGCTTAGAGTTATTTCAAATGATTCCTCTGGTCAATATAGAGCGCCTGACATGAAGCGTCATCTCCTGTCATTCAGTGAAAGGGTGGAGTAAAAAATATGCATGAGGGGGTGACTTCAGTGGCTGGAAGTTGGAGGGGATTTTACTGGGAGTTGGTGGGAAGTGTGCTGCCATTCCATCGCCGTTTGACTCAGAAGGGCGATTTTGAATGGCTGCTACTGTAAGGCAGGAGTGATTTCTGCTTTCATGCAGTTTATGCCACATTTTGACCCTAACATATTGATGTCACGGCTCAGACTCAGACTCATCTTACCTGGTAGCGTGGTGAGGTCAGCTCCAGCGCCCCGGCTGTAATCCTCAGTGTATCCTATAGTCATAACCTAGAGTTAAATCTAAGACGTGCTCTGAAAGGGGGCAGATGAAAGGTGGTCATAAAAACACGGAGGGGACGGAAGAGTTTTTGTGGCTGCCCGGTTAATTAAAGAAACCGAGCAAAGTTTGCTCCATCCATGAGACCGGGAAAGCAATGCCTGAACTTTGACTCTGTGTGCTGCACAGCTCTCATGTTTTATCTATGACTCAGGACTGTAGAGGATCATAGGTAGAAACTGCACAGGGAGGAAGGTATACGAAAGGACTGATGGGTTTTATTAGTTGGGCTCGGACTTTGAAACTGGACGTGTTGGGAATGGAGTCAGGGCAGATAACCCGCACCCTCTCATTCTTATTTTTTGTTTATACATTTTATTCTTTCTGTGTGAATCTCTGCGTCTCTGTTTGCCTTCGCTGTGCTGCTGGAACAACTGAATTTCCCCATTGAGGAACAGAATAGCATTCCTCTATTCTTCTAAAAGAATTTGAAGCTTATGTCTTCCTTTTTCCCCAAATTATGCATGTTTGGCCAAAAGTTATAGTATTTATTTATCTGTAGCAGCAAGAGGTTCAATAAGGAGGAAATCAACCTTAGAGTGGCAGCCTGGGAAGGTTTTTAATTGGATGTAATGAGCAGGCATGAAGCCTTGACTAAAGCACGGCTCTATGGACACAATGGGAAGCAGGGTTTGCTTGTTGCTTTAGATTTCATCGTTCCACTGGTTTACGTTTCCACCCTGAGCCCCCGGTCCACATGGTTCCATCTATTTCTGCACAAACGTCTTTTCGCGGTGTTGGATTGCGGAGTCTGTCTGTCTGCACCCATCAGAACGTTTTGGAGAACAGAGAGTAGAGACATTTCCCTCTATCAGCTTTTGTTACCACAAATAGCTGAAATACCCTGCACCTGTCTCTGAGCCTGAGACAAAGGTCAAAGGCTAACGCTCCAACTGTGCTCCAGGGCGTTATAAAAGTGTTTAACTGGAATTTATATGATGGACCCAGAAATGAATGATCTCCATGCTTTAAGGTGTGGAGTGCATGCAGCCCAGGACAGTTTCAGAAGTTATAAAAAGTAGCTTTATTGGGATTTTGTTGTTTTTCTTATTATCTAGATATGAAAAAAGTGACTTGTTTTATTATCTTTAAACTCTGTTAAAGAATTTGTTTATTTCCACTTATGAAAGCTGCCATATAAATGATTTAAAGCAAAAGTCGGGTCATATTCAGAATTCAACCTTCTGAAAGTACTTTAAATATGAAATAACTGTTCAAT